CCAGGAGGTCAGGTCTATTGAGGTAAGAGCAGAAGCCATGTCCAACAGCATTTGGAATTGGAGTTGAGGTACAGATCAGCCATGATCTAATAGAATGGTGGAACAGGCTTGAGGACCTGAATGCAAACTCCTGTCCCTATCTTCCTAGAGCTTATTTTAGTAGCGTTGAATTTTTTTTATCACACAGTGTTGATGAAGTTGTGCACTTTCTGGATTTCATATCGCATATTAAGTGTGAGAAACCTCCACTAGAAATGCTTAAGTATATGGAATAAATCATTTCAGGAGTCCTGTAGCTCAGTGGTTAGAGCACTCGCTTTGCAAGTGAGAGACCTGAGTTCAATTCCAGGCAGGGCGAAACCTTGGGCAAGTTTCCTTACTCCACACGCCTAATAATAATCCCTCCAAAAAACAAAAACAATAATAAATTGGTCATTTTCAATCTACGACTGTTTGTGGGACATTGCTGTGCGCAATTGGCTGCCGCGTAGACCCACAAATATACAGTCAATTCACTTTACAGTGTATTCTGTGAAGCGCTTTGGGACGTCCTCCCGACGTGAAAAGCGCTATATCAAATGCAAGGATTATTATTATTATGTAAATCAGTTGGTGGAATCAACATCTCCAATCGTGGCACTTGCCGTTCACACCACCAGAAACTCAGATCCTGGAGAGATCGTATCTGATGAGCACGATTTTGACAAGTACACTGCGTTTTCATCATGTAGTTGACGTGTTTGCAACTATGAAGTCACCCAAGAAAGTATTTTAAAAAGGTATTGTTGCATATTTTGCTTGCGTAGTTCAAAGGTTTAGGGCCCCCACCCGATCCCTAATCTGGCCGTGTACCCAGTCCACCACCAAAAAATGGAAATGTCCCTCTGTCTCAAATGGAAACGTTCTCTCTCCCTGGAGGAACTCTCTGTGGTTGGGGGGAGGGAAGGGGTGGGGAGTGGGAGTTGAACTGAAGATATTAATCTTGCCTAGATTTCTCATCTCTACATTGCACTCAATTCCGAAGCAGATCTTAGGTAATTAGATGATACAAAGAAACAAAAGTAATCTCTCAAAGAGATTAATTTGCATCTTACTACTGTTACTGAGCCTTATTCACACAAAGCCTCCATGGGGCAACTCCAGTGCTGCTTACTGTACCTTTCCTTATTCTAGCTATGTGTCAACTAAATTGGACAACATTTTTTGCTTCAATTTCACAGTGTCGACAAGTAATGGAAACTGGCTGGTAAACTAATCCCCCAGATCTGGTCTGTGACAGATACGAGTCTATAGGGGTTCCTAGGTTCATGTGCACACCAGATGTCAGGAATTGCCACAATCCATTGAAAGTAGTCAGGAAAAACAAGTCCCATGCAAAGGAGGTGGAATGACAATTTTCTTATCAGTTGCTCTGATCAAAACCGAGTCAGCCAAAAAACCAAACTCTTTTAAGTAAGGTAGGGGAGCGGAGACCCATCTCAGCATCTGTGCTTTTGAGTGACTTTTCTTGTCCAATTTTGGGTCTGACCAGTGCCACGTGTTAGCTGGCACAGCACAAAACCTATATAACTCCAGACAGCCTGATTTGTTCTCAGAAAGCTGTAGGTGACACAAACCATAGTCAATTTCCAAGTTTAGTTGAGATCTAAACAAAACTCACTTCTGACAATAAAAAAATAAACAAAATACATGTGTGTTATTTGGAAAGGCTGAAGTATGGAAATAAATACTTAAAGCTCTGAGTAATTATTATGTAATGCAGGTCCTACCTACCTTTCAGTGTTTTTGTGCATACAATTCCTCCATTTAAATAACATTTACTGTACTAAAGAAACATTTTTGCAGTTAAAATAAATTATCTTCTAAGATGTTAGCTGAGGCCAAATAAAGGTCCCTTGTGTCAATCCTTCATAGTGGATGATGTAATGCAATATTTCTTTGTTTCTAAAGATCGAGCAAATTGCCAATACATCTGCCGTTTTAACTGAATTTCAAAATTAAATATTTAACTTGGAAGAGACAGCTGGCTTCATGGTTAAGACTATGAACTTTAACCTCTGGCACTCCTAGTTTAAATCTCTGAAGGCAGATGGGTTAGAATGTTTAAAAAATAATACTGGATCGCAACCATTTCTTGTCAGCAACCATTTCTTAAGAGTATCCAAATCAAACTGAGTGCCATATATGCTTTCCCTCCCTCTTTTTTTGAATATTCATGGAAATCTCCATGCCTGGAATGTGCACTGTCTTCCTGGAAGGACGCATCTTGCTTACCTAATTCCAGAAAGTATGAAACGAGGCTTGGTAGAGTCAAATGCTTGGGGACTCCCGAGTGTGTGTTGGGTACTGCTGGAGTTTGACCAGCTAAAAATGCATAGCTTACCATTGAAAGTAGTCAGGGAAGCTTACCACTTCATGCCCAGCGAGGACCACCTTACTTCTGGGTGGTTTGGATTGCAGGGTTAACAGGAAGCAAATGAGAAGAAACCTTGCCACAGTGATCAGTGAATTGCAAACTGTAGAGCCTTAGCTTGCAGCCCAAGGCTCTAAGCCTTTGAAAGAACGTGATTCACTTTTTTAAATTAAATAGAGAATTAGGTTTGTGGGATAATCTCATCTTTAGAGGTAGATAGCAACCCAAGGTCCTACCAACTCAAAGTGAATAGTTCCTTACCAGCAAGCAAGCCACAAGATTCCAACATTGCACCACGGGAAGGGGCAAGATTACATATGATTATATATGAATCAAACAGCCTACAAAATACACAGTCACTATACTTTAGACCATAATCCTGTGAAGTACTTTAAGATGTCCTCCTGACCTGAAGGATGTAAGGATTCTTCTTCTCCTGATACTAATATTAAGTAAGTTTCATAATTAAGCAATCCATTGTTGTGCATGAATTGACTACAATCCCCTGTAGGATACAGTCATCACACTTTGCAGGAGGGGTGGAGGCTCGTGAGGAGTACGAGCACTGGCATGGACTGGATGGGCTGAATGCCATGTGTCTGTGCCGTATCACTCTGTGTAACTACGTAAATGTGTTTTTACTGAAACCCACTGTGAAATGTCACTGAGCATCAATAACACTTAGATGTTTTTTTTAAAAAATTGAGTGTCCACATAAAAGGTTTTGAGTGCAAGCATAAGTCCTTGATGCAAGTTGTTGGTGGTGTTGGTCTATTGAACTTCTTAGCACATTGACCATCCTCTCTCTCTCTCTGCCTCCCTTTATTTTTTGTATTCACTTTTATAATTTTCTTCCATCTATTATTTAAACCTCATTGTAGTGGTAATCACTTTACTGGCAATCGTGCTTTTCTTTCTCGTATCAGCTTCGCCACAGGTTGCTTTAGTTTGATGAAAAAGGGTTGAATTGACAGAAAGATCACAGACTCCAAGACTTGAGCAGCTGTCAAACCGCCACATCGAAATCGTGTTTCACATCGAAACAGTGGGAAGATTGCCAGACAGCGCTTTCAATGGCAACTGTGAAGATGATGTCAGGGTGGCGGAGATGAGTAGAGTCCACAAGATAGGCAACGAGGGAGTGCTTTGGTTTGGTACACTCAATATTTGCTGGCATTTCTCCAATGGTGATACCAAGCCATTGAGCTGTGATGACAAGGCTTCCCTGTTCAACCTCACTTTCAAAACAAGGCCACCTTGTTGCAAGATAAAAGGTCTCATCCGAGTCCCTATGGAGATTACTTGTATCATCACTTATCTTTCTATTTGTGTTGCAATTTGCCTTCTGTTCATAACTGACTCTCCTTCAGCACGTGTAACAAGAAAGTAAGCTGCAAGTGCCTGTGATGATCAGGAAGCTAATAGGAACCAACAAGCAAGGAGCAACACTTAGTACATTTTTCTTTTACATATAATCTGTGCACTCTACCTCCCCCACTCACACCCGACACCATCTCACCATTCTTTAGAATGATCCACCACTGAAAAACGCTCCTGGTCTGAGCGCAAAACATTAAAACATGCAAAGGCAAAACAATTAGATGTCTGTGCAGGGGCAAATCAGTCAGGGATTCTTCCCACTTGGCTCCTTAGCCAAAGCTCTAACAGTCGAGATGGATAGTACTTTCAATTGCAAACTACACTGTTTTAACTAGTTAAATTCCAGCACTACACTGGGATCCTCAAGCCTTGGCTCTTGCCAACCTTGCCCATTACTCTCTAAAATTAAGTAAACAGGGTGTGTCCCTCCGAGGAGAGCATGCATATTCCATTCCAGACGCAGGGAGATTTCCACACGCAGTTGGCACTTAGTCTGGCTTGGATACTCGAGCATGGTGATGGGTTTCTGCAGTGTCAGACACTTGGCTAGGCACAAATAAAGGTTTGAATTACAGCTGAAAATGGGATTTAGGTCCAAGTCCTCTGGACAGAAGCCTGATTACCGCTGTAATTACACAGATATCCCACAGGCAAATAAAATCTCAATACAAGGGATTGAGATCTTTATAAGATACAAGGGATACATAAAGAGTTCCCCCAATTCTCAGCTGATTCATGAAACTTCTTCCATTTATTCCAGACATGCGTGAACGAGTGTTCAATTATGCAGTTTTATAGCTCCAGTGTAATACAGGCCAACAAATTTATTGCTAATTTATGGTCAGTTGGGGTTGTAAATGGTGTTTGGTTTCCCCAAAAATGTTAGTTGCACGGGTGTTGTACTCGGGACATCCGTTCGGAAGACTTTCACATTCACAGAGAGTGATCCTGTACGGTTTACAAAACCTTTTCTCACTGTTATCGTTCAACTGGAATGAGTAAAAGCTGTGGATTAAATGATTGGTCAATGGTTGCATTAGTTGGGTGTACTGCACGCAGCTACGCTATCACAAACATACAGCATGCACATCTTGGACGCGGGGAGGGGGGAACAGGAGAGGGGGTGCCACTTTAATGACTGTTACAGTCATGGCAATGGCATGACTTACGTTGCTACAGCAACTCAGTGGTTAACGGCAATCCTTACCTGTTGTTATCTGTTCAGCCAAGGAATCAAGGTTAGTCTCATCAGCTACTGCCAAAAGTAAAAAGGGTCAAAAATTAACCAGGTTAGTATCCCCCATTCCACATGCGTTATTCCAATCCCTCCCCCCACATTCCAAGTTAGAGGTTTCAGTTGTTACATTTCATGCAAATTATCTCTGGTGTCTTAAGCAGGTACACACACACACATAAGTGATAGGCATTTCTCTTTAAAAAGATCTGACAAATGACCATGCAACAAGGTGTTTAAACTCAGTCTGTAAAAAATACAGAACTCTCATTGTGTGTTATGATACGACTTTCAGCCAAAGCTGGAACACATAACATGGTAGCCTTCCGTGCAATTATTGTGTTGGTTAAACATCTATTTGCCTCAAGCCATGAGAACATTAGCTGTTTCACTGTCAAACTGGGAGCAGAGGATATGAACAATTCAGTAAAGGGAACTGATCCAGGATACTTCATAGTTTCGCCTTCAGTGGATTCCTCAAACAACGCTGAGCAAGAAAGAGGGGTTTTAAAACAGGGTAGAAGAACATTTGTTAAAGATCCTATCGAGAGTGAACGTCACTGAATTGTATTAAAAAGCACAAATATTTAAATAGTTTTATTCGCAACCTAATTCTCTGGTTGTTCTTAAACGATTGTCATTCTTAAACAACTCAGCTGGTAACGTTTTATTTCCCCGCCCCCCTCTGCTGGGGCAAGATAGCTCCTGCTTGTAATAAGATTCCATGTAAAAGGATCTCAAGAGTGGCTAGTTTGGGGGTCTGCAGCTGGGTTGCTTGTTTCTCTCAGTGATTTGACTTGCAATAGTGATACTCCATGTTTTACGAGCCAACCTCCCATGTAAAGCTGTGCACAAATTCCGCAGAACGCAGGCCAGTTCAACCCTACATAATGTGAGCTGCAGAGAGAGTAGCCTCAGTTCTTTCAGTGACAATAAAATGGTGTTACAAACTGCAACTCTCCAAGGTCCGTCAGCACCCGATTCACAAAACTTTGAAGATTATTTTGTTGCTTTTAAAATAAGCAGGTTTGTTTTAGGGATTCAATCTCTTGCCTCTCCCCCTCTCTCCATACTCCTTCAACATGCATTCAATGTTTTGTGATCTCTCTCTCTCCCCTAAATCCTTGTTGTCTAAATGCATTGACTTGTGCTGCAGGACGGTGGCAACAGTACTTGGGCAACTGTGGCTCTCGCTATCTCGTCCAAGTGACCGCTCTCCGCAGAGGAGCTCAGACAGCGATTGCTGAGAGGCTGTTGGACTGTGGGACTGTGACATCACAGTTACCCCGGATCAGGTCCTTAAACAAGATCCACAAACATGCACTAGCTGGGAGCAGTATCCTTGGCTGGTTTTTCCTTTACTAAAAATAGCCCACTCTAACCTCAACCGAGCTTGGGAACAGCTTCCTGGCCTGCACTGCTGAACAATGCACCCAAGTGGCACATTTAACCACCGGGTCCCCGGAAGAGGGAAGAGAAAATAGTCCGATGCTTTTAGTTCCTAATCCGTGTGAATCCGGAGGGATTTCTACCAACATACTTTGTTTGCAAAACAAATAATAAAGATTTGCCAAACCTAGTCGATGCACATATGTTTAGACCAACATTTTGGGTTGTTTTGTTTGCTGTAAAAAAGTTGCCTTGTATCTCAATAGTCCTCCCATCGACTCAGAACCTTCTGACCCAACCCTCTGTAGTGGTCTCGGTCATTCAATTCCTGAGCCCAGAGGGTCAGGAGTATTCCAGGGCACTGCTGATGACAGACAGCCAGCCTGGCTCACCATCAGCATTTGACTTGGAAAGGCAGACTGGGGGCAGGGATTTTCTCATTCAGCTCCCTATTAACCAAAGCCCTAACTGAAGGGTGATCCCAGCTCGACAAGCAGTGAGAAAGCTTGCCAGACAATGATATCAATGGAAAGCTGTAGAGTTTAACTCTGGGGCCACCAAGCCTTGGCTCTAGTCAACCTGTAATAAACATCTCTGGAATTTCCATGTGTAGGTGGGATGCAAGGAATTCTCAGTTTGGTTTGGATACTCTCAAGCAAGTGTCAGGCACCAGGCTGGCTAACCCCAAACAAATTCTGAACATAAATAGAGCAGGACTTCCTCCTAGGTAATGCTAATTTAGCGTCACCTTGCAAGGAAACCTGGGGAAATGATGCCCTTTTACAAGAGGGGTCTGTTTCTATGGGACAAGCCTACCTGTGGAGGCAACTATTGTACTATGGTAAAATGGCCAGTTTGGGATCACACATTTCTGATGGTGGTTCACACATGCACAGTTGTCTTAACATCCTCGTATTCATGTGATGACGTCAAGATTTCCAGGCTTGCTTGCAACTGTTGTGCTGGGAGTTGGGGAGTTGGGGACTCGGGAACCGCAAAGTAACAGCGGAAAATCTCAGTGCGCAATTAAAGCTGCTTGCCACCATTCGCATTCAGTTGATCTTTGCCTGGCAGCACTGAATGAAGGGCAACGTGCAATAAAGCAGGTCAAACTTTACAAGGTACCAATCATCCAGGTGGGAAACTGAGTAAGAGTGCTGCAGTTTTCTTACTGTTGGCCACATCGTTTGGTGACTGTTGGTTACAGTTTGGTTTCACAGTTTGGTGACTGTTGGTTACAGAGTTTGTGGGTTTAAGACAGCAGGAGGCATGAAGAGACTAGGATGCGAACTGGTAGACATTTTCCTGGTTGGGGGCCCTACCTGGTGACACAGTTGACATCTGATATAACCGATAGAATAACGGTAAGTGTGTCCGATAGCAAGTCACAGCCAGTAATGAAAACCCGTGACCACATTCACAGAGGGAATTGCTGGTGTGAAATGATACTCACCCACGGCGCAAATATGTTCAAACCCAATTCAACAGACTGCAATACCACATTAAAAATGAATCTTCTACAAAAACTGATCTGTTAACCTCTTTTAAGCAATAATGTTACAGTATTCACTGTCAGGTATGAGCTAACAGTACTTGTGACTTTTTCTCACCATTCTGAACTGGCAGCTGTAACAAAGCATGTGTATAAGATATAAAATTTAGCGCTCTACCTAGATCCATGCTTTTAGATTTCCGTGTTTTCACAAATTCCAGCTGAGTGGCATCTCCGAACTGTTTTGTGCGTTTTTCAGACATGCTCTGACGTCCGAATCCCTCTCGTTGGAAGGCGGTGGCAGGGTCTACATCTGGGCTTAACACACTAGAAAAACAGAGAAATAAAAGAGAGGGGAAAAGTGGGTGTTTATTCATTTTGAACAACAAAGATCAGAAACCGAGAATTAGTACCATATTTCCGAAATTCACACTCTTGTGAAAGCAGCCACATGGAGAGCTCTGCTCTGAGGGGAGCTGTCACATGGAAGAAATCCTCCACTTAATAACAATAATCCTTGTATTTGATATAGTGCCTTATCACATCTCGGAGATGCCTTAAAGCACTTCACAGAATATACTGTAAAGTGAATTGACTGTATACTTTGTGGGCGAAACGTGACAGCAGTGTCCCACAAACAGTCATGGACTGAGTGAACAGTTTTTGACAAATTATCATTTTTGGAAGGGATTATTATCCTCGAAAAAGCGATTGCTCGGCAAACAGATGCGTGTGGAATTAGGAAACTTGCCTAATGCCCGGGAATCGAACCCAGGTCCTCTCGCTTGCGAGGCGCGTACTCTAACCACCAGCCTACAGGACTCCACGATGCTCAACATGTTGACTGGTGAAGGCACAGAATATGAATCACTACACATCAAAGTCCACACTTCAAGACCACCGGATTCAACAGACAAACACCTTTCCTTAGAACTGCACCAACTAATGCTGAAATGTCATTTTCACTCCTCGTAGAAAAGGAAAAGTGGCCTACTGTGTTTCAACTCAACTGTGATTGCTTGCAACGTCAATTACAGAATATCTTGTCACTACATGTTAAATGAAGTCGTCTTGCAAAACACAATGCCTTTTTTTATGGGATGCTGACCTTTCATCACAAGAAATTCTGCTCAAGTAAGTTTGGGCTGACGAGGTGTTGTTGCAGAACTAACGTGCATCAAACTACAGTGAAACAGAGTCACAACTGAGCCAGGTTTATGTACCACTTCAAGGTTCACAATTGACGTCTGGTTTTATGTTGTGTTGTGCTGTGTCGGTTGTTAGATACTAACAGAAATCAGATAGGCAGAACTGAGAGAGAAAAGTGGGCACAGTGAGAAGAGACTGAGATGCAACAGAAAACGTACATATACACACAGCATACACACCAACACAAGGAGGGAAAAAGAGATGTTAACACATAGACCGAGAAACAGAGAGACACATGCACACACGGGAAGAAACATTTGCAGCTGTTAGAGTGCACTTTTGTACAGTATTTTAAATGCCTGAAAAAAGTATGTTAAGACAATTCAGTATTTACTTGTGTTTTGATTTATGGAAGTCTTGATGCAGATTGGATGTAATAATAAAACTTAGTCATGAAATGTACAAACTAAGAGGCATAAAGCCTAGTTTTCTGGAGTTGTGGGCGAAACGCTATAATGTTGAATACTCCAGTTTCTAGCAATGAGCTGTGCTGCTAGAAACTGGAGTAAGGTCACAGGTGTGGTTTCATTATTTTATTGATGTTTTTAAAAAGGACGGTGTGTTGAAGCACCTAGAAATATTAGCTGTTCTGCTCTGTTGAGAAAGATCATTTCCTTATAAAGAAGAGGGAAAGTCGGATGGATCCCTTATGCACTTCAGTCACCCCAGTCTTTTGTGCTTATACAATATTAAATTTATACAGTGCCTTTCACATAGGGAGGACGGCCCAAGAACATCCCAGTCCTGGTTTGGAACCCGAGCTGGCAGTGGTAGTCAATGGATGCCGGGAGGGGAAAGATAACCGAAATATGTTTGGGAAATGGACCAGAGGGCAGTAGGAAGAAAATGGATATTAGGTCAGAGTAATCTGTGAAAGGAGGAAGCTTGATTAGCTGAACAACCTTGCTTGTTCCATACTATCTCAGTGCTCTGAGCGGCAGACCAAACGTTTGTGTAGAACGCTCTTCCTCCACGACTGAGGCATTATTATTGAAGTGCTTCCAACAGACCACTACCCATTATATTACTGATATGTACAATTTACATGCTTCCAGAATGCGCCTAGATCAGCAATCTAAAACACAAACCACGGTAATAAGAAATAACTGGCACATAGTTAAGCTTGCAGACATTTTCCTTTGTTACATTCTCAAGAATTAATGGTGGATTTAGAACATTTCCCTTTTAAGTGACATTTGCAGGACTTGTATTTCCCTATAATAATATCCTTGCATTTGATATAGCGCTTTTCACGTCAGGAGGACGTCCCAAAGCGCTTCACAGAACACACTATAAAGTGAATTGACTGTATATTTGTGGGTGAACGCAGCAGCCAATTGCGCACAGCAATTTTCCACAAACAGTCGTAGTTTGAAAATGACCAATTTATTATTATTTTTGGTTTTTGGAGGGATTATTATTAGGCTCTGTGTGGAATAAGGAAACTTGCCCAAGGTTTCGCCCTGCCTGGAACTGAACTCAGGTCTCTCGCTTACAAAGCGAGTTCTCTAACCACTGAGCTACTGAGTGACATGGCAAGTAAGGACTCAACAACTATTAAAGTGAAAGTAACTGTTATTGATACACACTTAACAGACACCCACTGAGATAAAGAGGGGAGTTTGTCATTTCAAGACGATATGCTAAACAGGTTTATCCTTAAGTAGAAAAGGCTGGATTTGCAACTATTACAAACAATGGGGAAGAAATCTCACTCAAATACTGGCATTTTAACAATTATGTTCTGCATATTAGCATTCGTTTGCTACTGTTGGACCAACATCCAATGGTGCAAAGCATTAAATTCCAGCGCGATTTGGAGAATAACGGATGATTATCAGGCATGAATTGAGGATTTCAGACGAAGCACGATAAACCAGGTTGTTTAATTATGTATCGTCTGAACACCCAAATCAACTTTTTAACCTTTCTCTAGAACCTTTTTATTAAAATATATCTATATTAGAAAAAAGAATAAACCCGCTTCCATTTGATGTGGTTGTCATCTCATTTTATGCCCCCAAAGGGCATGATCGTAGATGGCAGCCATCAATGTGGCCCACGCAACTGAGCTGAGAGATTATTCCCACTCCACGATTAATGACTGCAGCCTCCTCTCTGCCTGTCCTGCAACCTGCAATTAATTACTAGGAAAAGCTCGAACCAGTATAAAGAATGTGCCACACTATTAGAAAAAAAATCCTCATTTAATAATCTGTTTTATTATTAATATTTAAATTGAATGGTTATTCTATCCCTATTACCCTCACAACAATGATTAGATTTGAAGCAAAAGGTCACTTGGTTTCTATAAATTTCCCCCAGGCCTTCACTGGATGACTGGGAAGGAGCACAAGGAGAGCATTTCATTCTGAGGGGAGGAAATTACGTTCTGGTCTTCACTGTTCTATTCTATAAATACAGGTATATTATGCGCCATGTGCAAACTAAATGCATTCATACGGAGGGAATCAGAATTGCCCTTAATTATGTACTACACACTAGGCAATGAAAAGGATTGGTTAATTGGGTTAATTACTCTGTTCCAATATCCCCCTCTTATTCCTTCCCTACCTGCTCTTTCAAAACCCATCTAAAGACCTATCTATTTCAATGTCCCTTTGATAAATACCCCTCTACCACCCTTTAAGTCCCATCTCTCTCCTGCTACCACTCCTGAAATGGTTTTGTAACTCACTACGAGTCATTCTACCCAAATGAAAGGCTCTGTGCAAGTGCATATTACTGCTCTAGTTGCTGCTGTGCCACTTGCCCACACTTCAAAATGTTAATGATCCGATGACACTATTCAGAAAGAGCAAAGGGAGCTTCTCTCAGTCTTCTGGTGTCCTGGCTACCAATGCTTCAGATAAATTGGTCATTCACTTCATGGCTATTTGTGGGACATTGCTGCATGCAAAATTGGCTGCTGCGTTTGTCTATAAATACACAGTCATTACATTCGACAACAAGTCTCGTGAATAGTTTGGAGCAGCTTTGATGTTATAGGTGTTGAATCAAATGCAAGGAACATTAATTATTATTATAACCTGCTCCTTGTGGTAAATGGTTTAACATTCAGGGCTCAGTCTGAAGGAGGCCTCTCAGAAACACGATTTACAAAATAAAACTTACAATAGTAATGATCCTTGGATTTGATATAGCGCCTTATCACATTGTTAAGACATCTCAAAGCACGTCACAGAATATACTGTAAAGTGAATAGACCCTTTATTTTGTGGGAGAAACAGGCGTGTTGAGTAAGGAAACTTAACTAAGGTTTCACCCTGCCTGGGAATCAAACCCAGGCCTCTTGCTTGCGAGGCACACGCTACAGGATTCCAACTGATGTATTAACTATCTTCAATCATTGCACCACCAATCCAATTCCTGTCTAAACCTTAGTTAATGAAGAAAAGAAAAACTAAGAGGTCTAAAAGAGATGCCCAGGTTAAGCTGCAAATAGTTTAAGTATTAAAAATATATAATAAAGACTCTCTTAATCCTTTGTAAAAGGAAATCCTTTGTAGATTGAATGTAGCATTGCATACTTGGAAAAATAAGAAGAGCAGCTTACTTTAAGAATGGTACAATTCCCCCCTCTCACTTCCTCACGCTTATTGAAGTTTAATTCATTAATCCTCAGCCCATACTCTTTCATTACAACAAAAAATGGTCAAGGATCTCCTATTAACTTCTGAAAGCTGACATCTCTTCTTCAGATTCAGAACAGATGGCACTCTTGTTTATATAACCCTTTGACCAAATTCACTGCTTGGCCCCTGCACTTTCTGGCAAAACCCTTACCATTTACCTGCATTTCATCATCTTCTTCATCTATTAATGGCAGGAAATTAAACAAAATGGTAGAGTCCCTTTTAGGATATCATCCTACAAATGCCCCAAGTAAGGCAGGTTCAGCCTCATTGAGTATGGTCCTAGTAGTAGTCTTCAATTTATTACACAGGGTTACACAGATTATCACAGCACGGAAACAAGCCATTCCGCTCAACTAGTCCATGCCGGCGCCTGTACTCCACATATACGTACTTCCCTCCCAATCCACTCTCCCACACCTCTCTATTCTGAAAACAACTGTCTTGCTTGGGGGTGGAGGAAGATAAACGGAATATCCTTGGCTGCAATGTGACGTGCTTGCCAATAGAATGTAAGAATTGAGGCATTGTTCCCGAATCGGTGGGGTGTGCTGAACTCCAGGGTACTGCAGATGACACACCTGCCAGGCTGGCCCATCAGCAGGACAAGGGAATTCTTCCCATTCAGCTCCTGCAAGGCAAAGCCCTAACAGGCAGGGTGGTCAAAGGGTCAAAGGATGATGATCGAAGACACGGTCAAAGAGGAGGGTCTTGAGACAGGTCTTGAAGGAGGCAAGGGAGAGGGCGAGGTGAAGGAACTGCGAGATGGAGTTCCAGAGGTTGGAGGCAGAGGAGCTGAAGCCCTGCCCGCCAATGGTGGGCCAGGCAAGGCAGGGGATGTGAAACAGGCCACAGCCCGTTGAGCTGAGTGAGAGGGCAGGTTGATAGGGCAGTAGGAGGTCACAAAGGTAGGGGGAGCAAGGCCATGGAGGGTTTTGAAGGTGAGGACCAGGATCTTGAACTGTATCCTCTGTGTGATGCGAAGCCAGTGGAGTCAGGCGAGGATGTGGTGATAGGGACACAAAGCCTGGTGCGGGAGAGAACATGGGCTGCAGAGTTCTGGATGATCTATGCAAGAGTTCTAGAAACAGCCCAGCAGTGGGCATTCAGTAGATGCTATACCATTCTGCACTTGCACCTCTCCATGAGAGGACTCTACACTTCATGACTGCCCCATGTCGCACACAGCTAGCAGAGCTCTACAACAGGTTTACAATAAAATCAGCTTGTAAAATATATGCCTGCTGAATACGGTAGTGAATTTGTAAAGGAAATAAAACTCCAAACAATTCCACAGGTTATTGCGATATCATAGAGACCAAATATTGCAATCACAGATACTTTTGATGTTCACTGGATCACTCACCCTCAGCTATCACTTGTCTTCTTTCAGAATACAATTTCACAAGGGGAATAGAGAATCTCACGCAATCCTTCTCGTGCCTACTGTGTAATCTGATTTACAGGGATTCGGATTCATTCAAACTACACTGCGGATTTTGGCTCGCTTCGGGACGTGGAACGCATTCATTTTTTAACGACCTGACATGCCTCTGTGAATGCAGCAGAGCTGAAGAGTCTCAAAAAAAAACATCCCCAGGCCAGTAAAACAACCCGCAGAGCCCATAATCAGACCTGCCGAGCACTGACGCGCTAAGCTGAAGATCAAGCTTTTTAACTCAAAGGGAAGAAAAAACGGGTCTCGTACTTCACAGAAGAAGGTTCTCGAGGAATGTAAATAAGTCTCGCTCTCTGAAGCTTCTGCCCTCCCAAACCACAGAACTACTAATTGGGGATGTCAAATGTGCACTGTGTATCCAAGCATGTCTCCTAGCACCACAGAAACTCAGTCACCAAGGCCTTACCAACTTGCAAACCAAGTACAGTACCTGGGCACATAAGTGCCTGTATGTTTTGGATGTTAACTTGGCTGGCAATTTGCGCACAGTAATATCCCACAAACAGGCATGAAAGTGAATGACCAATTTTATCTGGGAGATGGTTCAATACAGCTTTGAGAGCTGTAGGGATTCAGGCTTAATTAAAAGTAATCCTTGCATTTGATATCATGTGCTGGATTCTGCCTAAAACGTTGAGAACATCTCAAAGGGCTTCGCAGAGATTGTTCTGTAAATGCAGTGCCTGTGTATTTCTAGGTGAACGCGGCAGCCGATTCTTCCTAAAAAGAGCCATGAAGTGAATATCGACATTTCTTAAGAAAATCTGTAGGATTGTTGGACATGTCACTGGGCGAAACTCCCTTCATATTTTGAATATTTTTAGAATCTTTTTCTCTGTATCTTTTTCTAAATTTACAATGACCAAGGAAATCACAGAATACTAGGTCTGAAAAATCATGACTGATTAGTGTCACTTTACCAAAACTTTGGGATTTTGTGCTGTTCACCTGGACAGCCAGACAGAATCTTGGTTTAAACATCTCATCCGAAGGCTGGTATCTCCAAAAATGCAGCACTCACCTAGCACTACAATCCACAGCAGTGTACCCACTCTCCTCCACAACACCGCAACTTCAACAGAAAAAAGTGGAGCCCAAATAGTTAATACTCAATTTGTTATTTCTGACTGTGGTGAGCCATGTGTCCATGTAGCTAAAAATGGGATACCAGCGTCACTTAATAAGTATCCTGTGTGGTGGCACTCAGACCACAGCTCTGTCGGAATGCATCTCAAAAGAGGTAAACAAAAGATTACGCCAGAGGGGAGGAAAGAGGAAAAACTAGGCTAACGCTCAAATGCTTGGGATGAGAAGTTAAACTGAGGTCCCTTCTGCCTGTTCAGGTGGACATTAAATTCTCATGGAACTATTCAAAGAGAATTTCTCCTGATGTCTTGGCCAACAATCGCCAGATAAAATTGGTTACTCATTTCATAGCTGGGACAATGCTGTGCGCAAATTGGCTGCCACACTCACCTATAAAATATAGAGTCACAACACGTGACGGTATATCATATGAAGTGCTTTGAAACAGCCTCCTGACATGAAAGGTGCTACATCAAATGCAAGGATGTATTTTTTCTCATGTGTTGCATTCTGTTGTATTCTTAGTTTAAAATATCCTCTTACCCTGTTATTTTGTCGGGTTCCTTCACCCAAACCCCGGGAAGCACAGAATCCATCACTTGGTGGTAGCCTGCAGGCGATTGGTTGGGCAGCAGAGGAAACGCAGCAGGTGTTCTATCATCCACAATCATAACCGTGTCATCTTGGGGCATGTTTACCGTGCGAGACATTTGGTAGTTGCCTGTTGTACAGAAATGTGCAGTTAGTGTCTCAATAATAATACAGAAATCCTGTGATGTTTGACACATACCTCATGCGGCATTGTCATTTAAAGTACAGAGCATTGTAACGCGCTTTGAACCATTCTCATTCCAATCTTTCACACTCTACAAACCCAAATGCATAAGTGAAAGTGAGAGTGCACATTACCAATTTCAGCACCAAGGCCCCTTTTGTTCACATGAATAAACAAACACTTCTTGCTTAAATTGAAAACATGAAAATATTATCAAAAAGTACACTGTGTGCTGTCATTCATGCTGCCCCAATCTTCTCAGTGTTTGCTGTAAAGGGATCTGTGGAAGACACCTCCCTTCCACAAAAAATGGAAATCTTGATCCCGGAAATGAAAAAGGATCAACCCAGGCCGGTTAAAATGTGTATTAGACTCTGTTTCGCCCCCTCCACATCCCCATCATCATCCTCCAGATAGCTAGAAAACATAAAGGTGTTAAAATCCATTGATTGGGTTCCCCCTTCACAGCCTAGATCTCTCTGGGATTAGATGAGCAGGCAGCATCCCTCTATGGACAGAGTGCACACTCCATTCCAGATGCATGGAAATTTCCAACCAAACATGGAATTCTCAGTAGTTTGGTTTGGAAACTCTTATCGTGATGGATTTCCATGAGTATCAGACACCCAGCTGAGCAAAAATAGAAATCCTATACTCTTTCGACTGCAGAGGATTTGCCTCTTGGGACAATTGTTAGTCACTTTCATATACTGTAGTCTGAGGTTCTTTTTCATATCTCCTTGGGGGAATAGACTGTGCCACAGAGCAGGTCTACCAGGGATGAGTTAAAGCCTCTCTTCTCCTCAGTTTTGTTAGGATTGATTGCCTGTGATAAGCACGGATGGTTCTGAATATAACTGTAATGTACCTTCTTACTACATAATACATCAAAATAAAATAAAAGGAACTCAGTTGATCCACATGTTCCTGAAATCATAGGGAATGATTGATTTTATTCACTGCTCATTCTGCTTGGGAGTGTCATTTATCTGATCGGCTCATAGCACGAACACGAAAGGTTTTCACCTTTAATCATCATCCTCGGAAGCAGTAAGAGCATTGAGAAAGAGAAAGAAAGGACTTGTATTTTTACAGTGACTCAGCACGTCAAAATATCTCAAAGACCTTCACAAGTAATTACTGTCAATTACAGAGAACGCTTTTATTGGCAAACTCAATGGGCATTTAGATTTGCAAGGTCCTGTAAACAGTCTTATTCCACACCATAGAATAAGACAGCACAGAAGGCAACTATTCAGCCCACTGTCTCAACCAAATACAACCATGACATAAAAACAGAATTTCTATGTCCCACTGAATAAACAGAAGTTATTCAATGCCTCCCTGGTAATCATTCAGTTCTGTGAGTTCGGTGAGTCAGACAGCAAATGAGCAGCAGAGGCTGCTTGTTCTATTAGTAGAGAATTGTATGTGACAGAAGTGTACTTCAGAAAAACAAACAAGTTGGAAGTGGGGGAAAGTTATCAGTGAGAATGGATTGACAGTGTAGGGTGGGGAGGGTTGTGATGGGTGAGGGAGTGTGGGTGGGTGGTTTGTGAAAGAACGCTGACTTTGACCTGCATTGTCAAATTCCACAGACCCTCGGTGCTCCCAACATCATCCTGGTACATCAATGCCTTAGGTGATAGCCTTGCTCAGTTTGTAGCACTCTCACCTCTGAGATAGAAGGTTATGGCTTCAAGCCCCACACTAGGTTTCGACTCTGTAGTCTAGGCTGACATATTCCTATGCAAGGGGTGGAGGGGAGTTTGGCATGCTGCATTGTCGGAGATCTGGTCCTTTGATTGACACAAGGTCCCACCTCTCTTTTCATGTGGATGCTAAAGACCATGTGGCACTACTTAAAAAGGAAGAGTTTCTCCAGTGTCCTGTCCATAATCTTCCAAATAAAATTGGCTGTTTGTGGGGTATTGCTGTGCACAAATTTGCTGCCACATAATGCCTACAAAAAATACATGATCACCTACACCTTACAGTTTGTCCTGCGAGCCTCTGAGATGCCCCTCCCAACACACACCACGCACAACACACAAACACACAAGGTACTATGTCAAATACAAAGAGTATTATTATTGTTATCATTATAGTAGTTATCCGTGACTGCAAACCCAGCTTAAAAAGACACAGTAACTTTGATTCCCCACTCTCCTCCACACCAACTTCCCATTCAACCTCCCACTTATCTTCTGAAGCATGTAGAGCTTGAACAATGGAGGCTAATTGGCAAAATTTACTGAGGGATTTGGAAATAGTGAAACCTAAAAGTAACTGAATGTATTCCTATCAAGCTAGCTTTCAGTTTTGACTTCTGGAGTGACTCTACAGAGGCCTGAAATTCCACCTCATCTTATCCTGTGAGAAGTCTGCAGAAATTCCGGTATTTCAAATAGCAACTGAATAAAATCAACAAATTCACACGAGGCAAAATCTTATGGTTTATTACTACCAGTATAACAAACATATCAGACGTCTTATCCGTTTCGCCCACAAAATATAGTCAATTCACTTTACAGTATATTCTGTGAAGCGCTTTGAGACATCTCAATGACATTCTCAATGACATGATAAGGCACTATATCAAATGCAAGGATTATTACTACTATTCTGCCTTGATATTTGGAGGACTGTGGAGTCCTGTCCTGTGGTTAGAGCACTCGCCTTGCAAGTGAGACACCTGGGTTCAATTCCAGGCAGGGCGAAACCTTGAGCAAGTTTCCTTACTCCACACGCCTAATAATAATCCCTCCAAAACAAAAAAACAATAATAAATCGGTCATTTTCAATCCACGACTGTTTGTGGGACACTGCTGTGCGCAATTGGCTACCACGTTTCGCCCACAAATATACAGTCAATTCACTTTACAGCATATTCTGTGAAGTGCTTTGAAACGTCTAGAAGACGTGAAAAGCGCTATATCAAATGCAAGGATTATTATTATATTTAACATCACACAAAACTGTGGAAAATTCTTAAACTTAGTCTTAATTTTGAAGGCAGTTCTTTTTAAGAACTGTGGAAAACCAGCTTCCAAATTAATAATGAATTTAAGAATTTTCTACAATTCTTAAGCGTGAAATCACTACTACAGGCTAATGCGAGGTGGAATTTCAGGCCCCATGTGCCCAACAGGAGATGTGAAACTGATGGAATTCCTGACCAGATTTGAGTTAATTGGGGGAAACTTACAAATCCTTTTGCAACTCTCACCTATTGAACCTCCAGTGAATGAGTTTAGAAATGGCACAAAGACAGCAGTTAATTTCCTCCACATGTTTGTTACACTGGTAGTGATAAACCATAAGGTTTTTGCCTCCTGTGAATTGGCTGATTTTACTCAGTTGTGTCTCTTCGCTGCTTGAACAACCAGAGAACCATTTCTGCAGACTTCTATGGGGTTTCTGTGTAAATGTAACTGGTCTCCACGACACATCCAATGTGTTAATTACTTTCCTTGTAGCTGTTACAGTGCAATGTTATTTTCAACTGTTTGATTTCAACACCAGATTTTATCCAAAGCCGCAAACTGCAGTGATGTTACCATTTTGGCGCTGTGACTCCAGACTTCTCTCAGTGTTTACCAAAGCTGCTTTTATTCTGTTGGGAGCTCAGTGACTTCCCTCCAGCAGAGCCATGTGGCGGCAGGAAGGATTACAGACCCCAAATTCCATCCGTCTTATTTTGTTCCTTTTTTTAAAAAAGTAGAGACTCATGCAGAATTGTAGAACATTTTTAAATTGGATCTTAACTTTCAAACTGGTTGTTATTAAGAACTGCGGAAAAAACAGCTACCAATTAAGACTGAATTCTAAGAATGTTTCACGATCCTACATGATCTTCGGACAGAATGACTTGCTGGAATTTCAGGCCCAATAGTTAAACTGTCTGCTTCACAAGGGGACAGACGGTCAAAAAACACAGAATTATCCTGCAGCCTTTACCTAGGGTTGAACACCAGTATATTTTTCTTGCAAATAAAATGTTATTGAAGAGCCAAAGTTCTGACTGGCTCTCAAGCCAATTAAAAGGATTGCCTGGGAAATGTTCATTTATTTTCTAGTTTAAAAAGTTGGTTGGCATTTTTCGAGAAAAGTAGGATTTATGCTGCAGCTAACGTTGTTGATTCAATTATGAAACCTCCTCCAGAAGATGGCTTCCAGAGTGCACTTCGCTTCAAATAATAAATAATAATAATAATCCTTGCATTTGATATAGCGCCTTATCAGATTATTGAAACGTCTCAAAGCGCTTCACAGAATATATTGTAAAGCAATGTGTATTTTGTGGGTGAAACATGACAGCAGTGTCCCACAAACAGTGGATTGAGTGACCAATTTATTATTATTATTGTTTGAGGGAATATGACCCCCGAAAGCGATGCGCCAATCGACTAACAACTGGGGTTCCTACTTACTGCTAGGTAAACTGAGGCGTGTGGAGTAAGGAAACTTGTCTAAGGTTTCTCCTGGCCCGGGAAATGAACCTGGTTCTTCTCATTTGCGAGTCGAGTGCACTAACCGAGATCCTACGGAGTTAAATCCATTCACTTATAACCAAAGTTCAATACAATAGGGTCAACCTGACACAAAAACCCTAGGAACAGCTGCTGAAAACATAAAATAAAAAGCATAAGATTCTTTGCAATCACGAGTGATGTTGATCTCCACTTCTTGATAATTTGAACGGCAAAGGCAACACCCAGATATTTGCAAGGCCACATTTATGCTCCTTTTTGTTAAAACAAAATCTAGTATCAGCTCAATCGCACAACATTGCACAAAAAAATACATTAGGTATTAAAAATAAAAACAGTTGACCATTCCAGCAGAAGGACCTCTTTCTGATGTTAGGTTACGCAAATATTCAAGAATTCCATTGATGTGGGATTGATTAAAGAGTGCACTGTTTTACATCAGAGCAGAATTTT